ATCTTAATACATTTTACGCAATCGATTAGCGAACAAAATAACCAAGATTCAATGCAAAACGATTTATTTTTGGTTAAAATCAGATTAATTACTCACAATTAATTGGCCAGAATCTAATTGGACTGTGTTCTGTGATGATGGATTTCACGAAACGTACAAGAATTGACTGCGATTTACACAACAAATTTGAAGAATCAAAACGAGAGTGCACGCACGTATTGGGAACGATGTTAACTTAAGAAGGTGACGCGCACAACTGAGCGGTGGGGACGCGGCCCGCGATCTTCGTACCAGGCATGCAGTTTTTTTTGCGATAAGAAAAGCATTGTTGGTATCAAGCGTGCGAACAATAGAAAGTGATGGGGGTAACGCGTCCCTGCGCCATTTTGTTTATGTCGCAATTTCTAAATTAATTAACACGAATTTACCTAATTACAAATCGCTACAGGAAATACACATCTTAATACAATCTACACAATCGATTAACGAACAAATTACGCAACATTCAATGCAAACAGATTTATTTTTGGTTAAAATCAGATTAATTACTCACAGTTAATTGGCCAGAATCTAATTGAAATGTGTTCTCCGATGATGGGTTTACACAACAAATTTGAAGAATCAAAACGAGAGTGCACGCACGTATTGGGAACGATGTTAACTTAAGAAAGAGACGCGCACAACTGCGCGGTGGGGACGCGGCCCGCGATCTTCGTACCAGGCATGCAGTTTTTTTTTTTGCGATAAGAAAAGCATTGTTGGTATCAAGCGTGCGAACAAATGAATGTGGTGGGGGTAACGCGTCCCTACGCCATATTGTGCAATCGCAATTTCTAAATTAATTAATCCGAATTTTCCTAATTACAAATCGCTACAAGAAACACACATCTTAATACATTTTACGCAATCGATTAGCGAACAAAGTACGCAACATTCAATGCAAACCGCTTTATTTTTGGTTAAAATCAGATTAATTACTTACAATTAATTGGTCAGAATCTAATTGGACTGTGTTCTCCGATGATGGATTTCACGAAACGCACAAGAATTCACTGGTTTAACACGATTTACACAATAATTTTGAACCGAAACGGGAGCACTCAACATACGCATCAACGTCTTAACAACAACTGAACAACCCACGCCACGCACACTTAGCGTCTCCCACCAACTCAATTACCAACTGAGAATGTTTAAACAAAAACCACCAAATGCTCCCTCTAGTGGTTTTATTTAAGAATCACAAAGAAAAACAATAACAATTAATAAAAAATACTATTAATTAATAGAGACACATGAATATGTTAATCGATAGACTATGATGAATCAAGTTTATTTCCTAATCGATGAGAGTAACTATGCATCCATTATAACCAATCGAACAGTATGTTTTAAAATTAAGCTCATCGAATAGAAAAGAATAATTTTGTTTTAAACTATGTACAATGATCATCCACAGCCAACTGACAAGTTCATCGAATAGACAAATAACATTAATTTAAAATACAAGTGCAAATCACTTGCATCCAATTGATTGGTGTATTCGAGCAAGTCATTGATGTGTGTTATAATTGTACGAGTACTAAATAGTAAAAGTTATAATAACAAGTCACAGAACAACAAGAAAAAAATCTTATTGGATTTCGATTAGATATGTGAGTTGTTGTGCTCAAGAAAGTGGAAATATTTATGCGCATATAGATCTAATATATTTGGGACGTAATTTGTGGAAGCGAGATATTTAATGTTTGAGTTTTAATTGCTAAACTTGTACATCAACATTTCGGTTTACTCTCTTTCTAATCTCTCGAAAACTAAAGCTAAACTATAAACTATTAATTAAAGTTAACAACATTGAAATTAATTTGAATTCTGAAAGAAGACCGAATGCGAGTTTTACTTGATTTTTAGATGGAAAAAAAATACGAAACGTATATAATAAATTAATAGATTATTACGGGGAGCATCATAATTCTTGTGCAGTAATAAATCATTTAAAATGCTCGATTCGTTTCATTTTCTTTTTTTTTTCACACCTGACCTCACGAGACACGAGGGAGCAAAATGTATGCGAGATATTTCCACCTCGTCCATTACCGAATGTCACAACTTTTTCATACAAATATATATAGTTTTTTTTTAATCAGGTGCATTTATCGGCGAGTCATTTACTCGAAAATTAGTTTTATGTAGAGGAAAATAACCAGCAGCAAAAAAAAAAGTGTACACGCTTCGTTGCGACAAAGCGTGTAGAAAATAGAAGAGATACATAAAACAGTCACTTGATGTTAAAGGTAAAAGTCGTTTGTTTTTTTTGTTGATCTGTACATAGAAAATCTATGGTGCATGGAAAATGCGCAAAGTTCAATATTTTGTTCATTCTACTAGAGATTAATGGAATAAAGCTGGAATTGATATTGCAGTGAGCTCTCAGTTAAAGTACATCGAGATGTGATAAATGCATGTTTTTAGTACACACGAACGTACTCGAGGTTCGCACGAACGTACTCGAGGTTCGCACGAACGTACTCGAAGTTCGCACGAACGTATTCGAGGTTCACACGAACGTACTCGAAGTTTGCACGAACGTACTCGATGTTCACACGAACGTTCTCGAAGTTCGCACGAACGTACTCGAAGTTCGCACGAACGTACTCGAAGTTCGCACGAACGTACGCTTTGCCTTTTTGATGTAATATCCAATTAAACAGACACGATAAACGTAAAAGAATATTTGTTTATAAATAAATTAGGTTCGTGGAAATTTATTGATTCGTTAAAAAAAAAACAAATGTGTAAAACTCTGTCGGTTCATTGTCAAAACATGTTTTCCAATTTACCAAATTGGTTAGCCCTCCACCCCCGCAGCACTTGTGGGGAAATTACATCAAGTAAATTAAATAAAATAGACGAAATGAACGTGATCAATTTGCTAATAAATTTATCATGAAATATTCGAATTCATGTTTCATGCAATTCAGCGATTCTCAACGTTTTGAGTCGCAAAATGACAGCTGTCACCTTGTGTGAAAGAGAAGAATTGCTTAACAGTTGCGTCACAAAATGACAGCTGTCAAATAAAGTAGGATTATCAAATGAAATTTGTAAGATTCCACAAAACAATTAATATTTCTTTTCCAGTTGCTTCTTTATTTAAGTGAAATTCTTTGAAAGTTAACTTTTTGTGAAGTTCGAGTAAACTTTGTTTTCTTCTTCTATTATATTAAGTTCTTGTAGAAATTACAAGATTCACTCTCACTGCGTTATTTAATATTTTTTTTTTCGAATGCACTCAAACTGTATTGTATGGAAATCCGATGAAATAATTTCATCATAGCAGAACCGAGGATTTGTTGCTTTCAATCAATGTTGAAAACCCGTTTGAAAATCGTCGTTGACAAATCCAATCAACGGCGTCAATAAAATTTTCGAACTATAAAAGACATCAAAATTTTATTAATTTATCTTTATCGAATGTTAAAATATCATCAAAACATTGGTTTTTCAACGTTGTGAGTGTAGTTTTTCAATAATCTGATCATCAAAGCAGCGTATATGTACTTTGCATTTTTGACGCTCTCCCATATCATGTTTCGATCGTTCATCGAGTCTTCAATCTGTTCCCGCTTGATGGGGAACTGCTGGATCAGGATCCAATCTTTGTTAGCTAAAGCGACATCTTCGGAGTGCAATTGAAAGTCGCCGTATTTGTACGACTTGATCACAATCACGTCCGTTCCTTTCAAGCCCTCGCGAAAATTCCTGAACTCCTCCACCTGACACGTCGATGTCGACGCGTTCGGTAAACCGATAGGACTCATCGGTAAATCTGGAGCAACGTTGCAGCAATACTTAATATTCATACCTGTGCAAAAAAATTAAAAACAAATAAATAAAAAAATGTGAATGTTAAGAATGAAATTGTTAATATACCTAAACGTGAATAAATGCATAAATACGAGTTAATTTTGCTGCACGTCGGTCCTATCCAGGAGATGTTCAAACCTGCGAGTTTTCCGGACTTCATCTGAATGGTCATCAGATCGATGAGTGCTTGCGGCGTTGAGAATTTACAGCACTTGACTAGAACCATCGGGATGGCTGCACGATTCTTCGGAATCATCTCTTCGAGCACTTTGAATCTCTTGCATTGGCACAAGAACATGTCGACGTTGTCGTTCATGATCTTCCCCAGATGCTCAAGGTTATGCTTGTAGTCCCACGAGGGTACGACCATGTGATTGTAGGATGCTCCGGTCAGGTGAGCGCCGGATGCCAGAGCGACGCTCTGAACGGTCTGCTTGGAGCTGAGATACACCACTCTTTTGTGCTTCAACAGATCCCGACTCAAATTTCCGGTTTCGTGTGCCCTCCGAAGATCAATCGCGGTCCACAGGAGCGACTTAATTTCGTCGACGCTGAAATCCTTCGGCCGTATGAAAGATTTTCCGATCAATGAAACCCCGTTTCGCATTGCTACAAACGATCTATTTTAGTTATATATTACACACACATACACACATAACATTTTGACAAAATCGTTGACAGATACGTGAAAAATCTGGTTCGATATTCGCGTTTCGCCTGACCCATCCCTTCTATGAATAATGCATGTGTTTTCTGTAACACTTTGACGTGCATAAAATTCATACTTTGTTGATCTGCCAACAGCTGCACGGTTGCATCTACATCTTCAACTGATCCGCAAGTTATCAGCTATTATTTAAAATACAAAAACTTAACACTTTGCGCACGAATATTTGTTTAATCAAAGCTTTTGTCATACCAAAACACGCAATCAGACAGATTCTGACAGCTTACGTCAAACTACTCCGTCCGAAAAAGGGTTAGGATTTTGAAGAATGACATTCACAAAGTTATACCAACTCGGGAATTACCAACTGTTCAAACCAAATTACCACCAGCATACTTTTTCTAAATCTTTTTATCCGAAAAAAATATGATATTTATATCATGATAGAAGAAGATGTTAAGTTTTAGCATATATATATAAAAATAGTAAAGTTATTTGTTTGTAGTTGTTAAAATTACCAGTTCCTCATTTTTGACACAAGGTGACAGCTGTCATTTTACGTTAAAACTTGAACAATAAAATCTGCGATTGGATTCAATTATAATAGTGAGTGCACAGTGTGCAATTCTAGTCTTCGAATCATTTTGCTCTATTTAATAAGTATCGATCGGTGGAGGTGAATGGGCAGGGTGCGCGCCTTTTAATGAGGTAATTAAAATTAATGTAATTGTCATATCAACAACTTATTACAATTGGTGC